CTCCAGATCTTTTCCAATGAAGAAACAAATTAATCTACAACTAGGATGGCCTGTGGGTGAGTAAATTTTCCACAAATTAAAATTTTTGGGTCAACTATAAATGGAGGAAAAGGTATTTATGCACGTATGTATGTTTACCAAATTTCTATTTGGGGAGATTTTGCGTTAATAGTACAAATTTCTACTTGCAGTGGCTGTTTTTCTCAAAAGTCAATAGACTTGGGGAAAATTCCAGAGAATGGCATGTGTTGCCAAAAGTGCCTTTTTTTCTCACATTGATAGTGAGTGTGTTTGATATCTAATAAATATGAACTGTAATGGGAACTTTTAACAATTAAATAGCTGCATGATATCTGAACCACCGTATAATATTTAGTGAATAAGGACAACTTTGTAACCATGTTTTCAGTGAAGATAAATTCTAGGCATTACTGGAATATCTACTAGTTAAAAAATAAGTATTCATAACTCTGAAATTGTTATTCTTATGTCTTTAAGAATAAATAATCAATATGTCATTGAAAGATGTTTAGTAGTTCACCCAAAAAATGATAATTTGCTGAAAATGTACTCATCCTCAGGCCATCCAAGATATAGATGAGTTGTTCCATTATCGGAACAGATTTGGAGAAGTTTAGCATTACATCAATTACTTGCTCACCAATAAGAGTCAGAACATCTGAAAAAAAAAAACATCAAAAATAATCCACAAGTAATTCACATAACAGAAGCAACAGTTTGAAGTTGCGAATTTTAATTAAATTAGATTATTTAACAATAAGAGATGAATTGTGTGTGGGTGAGGGTAAGGTTATGGGTAACATTATTTATTTGTTGTTGTGAAATTTTTTTTTTTTTTTTACAGTTGATTGTTGTATGTTTGATCTGCTCTCTTGATTGATTGCCTAAGACAGATTTCTCCTGAGGGAGATAATAAAATGGAATACTAATACTAATTAATTCTGAATTACAGATTTTTGCTTCACAATAACCCACAGGACTCCAGTCCATCAGTTAACATTTTGTGAGGTTTTTTGTCAGCTGTTTGGACTCTCATTCTGATGGCACCCATTCACTGCAGATGATCCATTGATGAGCAAGTGATGTAATCTAAAATAATGTTACATTTCTCCAGATCTTTTCCAATGAAGAAACAAATTAATCTACAACTAGGATGGCCTGTGGGTGAGTAAATTTTCCACAAATTAAAATTTTTGGGTCAACTATAAATGGAGGAAAAGGTATTTATGCACGTATGTATGTTTACCAAATTTCTATTTGGGGAGATTTTGCGTTAATAGTACAAATTTCTACTTGCAGTGGCTGTTTTTCTCAAAAGTCAATAGACTTGGGGAAAATTCCAGAGAATGGCATGTGTTGCCAAAAGTGCCTTTTTTTCTCACATTGATAGTGAGTGTGTTTGTACCCCAGGCTCAGACTCTGAGATGTAGGCAGAAAGAGGAGAAAGAATAACCTCTTTCATTCAGAACTATCCAGCATCTTGTCACCTACATGACCCCTCTTAATACAATAAGTAAACCTTCCTCTAGTTCATCATATAGCTGAATATTTAATGTACTCAGCGTGCCTTATACCAAAGCTGTTTTCTAGATTATGAGAAAAACACTTTTACTGTTCTCTTTCAGTAGGCCATCAGGTTCAGAATAGCATATACCATACTTCTATTCTTGCAGTAGCACGTAAACTGTGCTGGATGACTTGTTAGTTGGCAAAATATGCAGCATAAAACAGAGCACACTGCATGGAATACCATATCCTAACAATGGAATAGTTGATTTGACTTTCCTCTTTTAGTGCAACAACGTTCAAGAGATAGTTCACCTAAAAAATACAAATATACTCACCCTCGTGTTGTTCCAAACCTGTATGAGTTTCTTTCTGCTGTTGAACATAAAAAAATTTATTTTTAAAAATGTTGCTAACCAAACAGTTGCTGGTAGCCATTGACCTCCATAGTATTTTTTCCACAAGTCAGTGGATACCAGCAACTGTTTGGCTACCAACGTGAACTACCTGTTCAGCAGTCTCCATAAGACCCACTATTAACCTTAGTTTACATGCCAGGCGCTATATGAATTTGCTAAGTAAAATGAAAACATGTCCTTACCATTTTTATTATGTAGTAACCATTTCATAAAAGCAATAATGCACTTGTGATTTAGCGGTCATGAATTTTTTCATGATGCAGCACAGCCTCTCATAGTGTTACTGAAATAAATACATAGGCTTACTAGTAAAAGAATTAATAGAGAACAGTTTTATTAATTTCTTCAAGGTTTCTTTATACACATTTGGACCCGTGTACAATTGGTGGAGAAAGGTGCAATACAATACCAACACAAAGAAAGAGAGCAAGAGAAAGGGACAGATAGAATGAGAAGAGAAAATGAAGGTAAGAGAGATATACAGGGCAAGTCTATGTTGAGCCTGTGGATGGCCACAATCAAACTGGCCAATGAAGGGGAGAATTTGGAAGTCCTGCTGGACATTAACAATTAGAATACCCAGAAGCCACCTCAGGTGTTTGGCCTTATGTTACATTACATACAGACAACAATGTCAAAAAAGTAATGCTCTTCAGAAAACAACCTATTACCAGTCCAGGCATACAGTAAATCGTATCCCCTTTCTTTTTAGTTTCTTAAACATGAAAAAGCTCAAGTTTACATTCAGCATGCAGGTTATTTTACAGTTTTAATTTGATGAATTTGCAGACAGTATAATATATGACCTCCATTCTGCTTTAAAAACATAAAGAACAAAATATGAAAAATGTTTTAAGGGAAGGTGAAAAGCATTATATATATATATATGTTAGAACAGTTGTGCCCATGAACAATTATCTTGCTTTAACTTCATCCTAATTAAAGCAATATCCCAGGAGCATCTGTCAATCACCACAAAACAAAAAGAAAACATGTTCAGAGATGTGTTAGGCATAGATGTCAATTGTAAGAATCCAACTACTGTATGTGGGGTTTCCCATCAACATTTCCATCATGTTTTGTTTTTACAAACTGTGTTTGTTGTATATTAGTTGTATATAACCCGGAACTTTCCTTTAAAGGGGTCATATGATGCTGTTAAAAAGAACATTATTTTGTGTATTTGGTGTAATGAAATGTGTTTATTCGGTTTAAGGTTCAAAAAACACATTATTTTCCACATACTGTACATTATTGTTTCTCCTCTATGCCCCGCCTTTCTGAAACGCGTCAATTTTTACAAAGCTCATCGGTTTGAAAAGCGAGGTGTGCTCTGATTGGCCAGCTATCCAGTGCGTTGTGATTGGCCGAATACCTCAAGCATGTGACGGAAATGTTACGCCCCTTGCCATATTGTGATGCCTTGTCCCGGCTGGAGCGACGAGACAAAAACATTAAAACCCATTATAAATGAGGCATTTGTTGCATCCAGTGGGGACATAATTACAGATTATAATGACTTCTATTGTCTTTTTACGCGTTTGCATTGCATCACGCCGCGTAAACCATGTCTGCATTTGTGATCGGAGAAATGACAAACAGAAACACAGCGGCACACACGGCGGGCTAGAGTGCTAGTGAGCGGAGGCCAGCTTGAGTGAGCGGCGGCCGGTGGGCTTGAGAACGGCACGGCGGGGGGGGGTGACGTAGACATGTGGGGTCGTGTTAGAACGAGCCGTTTTATAAAGAATATCTCTTTGGTTTTGAGACTTTAGTCTTTGCAACTTTACAGATCTTCTTTATGCACCAAGAACTTGTAACACTCCAAAGAGAAAGGAAAAATTTAAATCGCATCATATGACCCCTTTAAAGTCGGCATAATGTGAAAATTCATCTTATCTATTTTCTAAATGCATGTTATAGATCTTATTGTGAAAATTAATCCATGCATACATTTCACTTTTCAAAAAATGGACTTTGTAATGTTTAATCAAAATGGATCTTCCGGTGAAAATGACTTTTCTCTGGTGACATATACAGGACTTCACCAATCATATACAGTAGTATAATTAAACCCCAAGCTCTTCTGCCCCCAGTGTTGAGGCCAATGCCCACAACTCAAAATCCAATCAATAACCAATGGACAGAACCAAGTCTTGCCTTATATTTTTTGGTTTTTCAAAAATCCACTAAACTTGGATGTACGCCTCAATAGAGAAGAAAAGATCTGTCGCTACTTCCAATTGATCGCGATTTTAAATAAACAAGCTAAAAAGTTGTAGTTAGTGGTTAAACTCCCCCATAGATGTAAAAATACTGTAGCATTGACTTTCTGCTCATTAAGACTCTCAAAAAACAGAGTCAATGATCAGCGGCCCCCGCCATCACTGTTCTGGATACCCTTGTAGTCCCCTCCCCCTCTATACCGCTTTTAGCCTTTCTAAATGGCTATATTTACCCTCCAGACTGATCATGCTTGCGCTCTTGTTCTGGCACACACACACATAAAGTGCACAAGTGACGATATAGGAACAAAGACAAGTCAGGCAATCAAATGTGGTTTTGGCTCCAGTCACAATAACTCTAGAATCTGTAAAAGTATGAATTCACTTTAAAATGATACGAGAAATAGAGAAATAGTCTGGCAAAAGTGAGTAAGAGTTTGTGGATGTCAATGATGGGAGATTTGTGGATACTCACACATGGACGAGTGCTGCCTTGTATGAACAATAAAAAGATAAAAAATGTAAGGCATAGTGTGACAAGCATTCTGAAGAGAAGGAGCTTAATAACATTGCTAAGGATATAAGCTGTGGTAGCCGTCAGGTTGCTATAGCAATAAATGTTTGTAAATGTGATGCACTACAAGCTCGAATTGCACAGCAACAAAACACACGCGCGCGCGCGCGCACACACACACACACACACACACACACACAAATAAATCCTTCTTTATCCCTTTTCCATTACCTTCTGTGGAAAACCAATTCTATGTAATATATTAATTGCAAAGGCATTCTTGGTGAAAATAAAAAGAACAAATTTATATTAAAATGTGTCAAAATAAAGCACAAAGTGATTGAATATATAAAAATGCAAGGAAATGAAAAACAAAGATAAAGCAGCAACACAGAGAAAAACCATGCTATAAAATCCCAATCAAAAGGAAAAGTAATTTCTTTGCAATCACATATCATGCCACTCTCTAACTCTTTCTGTCATAAGGATCGAGTCAGTATTTTATATTCAGGCAACAAGTAGCTTTGTGGTGCTGAAAAGAAATAGTTGACCCAAATATGACAAATCTGTCATTTACTCATGATTTTCCTTCATGGAACACAAAAGGAGACGTTTAGCAGAGTGTTCACGCTGTTCTTTTCCATAAAATGGAAGCACACATGACCAAAAGCCTTTGTATCAACCTACAAAATGGCAATAAAGCACCATTTATCATCATACTATACATGTCATGAGACAGAGTTTCAGCAAAATATTATCGATAAATAATGACATTTTGGTCCACACAGAGACTTGAAATAATGCCTGTTCACACCAAGAAAAATAACTATAACGATAATATAAAATAATTTCTTCATGCCTTAAATATAACTCTACCCTCACCTCATTTAGTATATGCGAATCCAAGAATATGCTAATTAGACCACACCTCCACTCAATCGCACCAGTTTGGACTACCTGTTCCACTTTCTTGGTTAACTGTAGTAGTAAATGCTACACAATGGCAAGCGGTGATATTGGATTAATTCAGCCATATATGTCTGAATCAGAAACTGATTCCAAAGAAGAGGAGGAAGAACGAATTATACAGGGTCGTATAGAATTTGATGTATCAGAATGTATCACACTCTACAACGTCGGACACGTAACAGTAATTGATATCATTAGCCTTTGGTTTGACAACATTACCAAACAGTTAATAATGTGTCACTAATGTTACACAAACCACGTTCCTGTTGCCATCTTAGACAGCTATCTTCTAAAAATCGACATCCTTAGGTAGAAACGCTTTGAGAATGATATAAAAAGCCCCACCCTGCAAGTTGTTGGGATTGGTTCGTGATAGTACCAAAAAAGCGGTTTGAAACAGCCAGTTTCCTACTGTCTTTGGCACACTGCGGTTTTAAGGAGAAAATGCTCAGAAATGGCGTTGACTGATGAATTTGCACATGGTTTGTCTTTAAGCATATTAAAAACACCTGATAGACATGTAAACAACATTAAAAACTTCATTTTCATCACTTGAGCTTCTGATTGTCTGTCAATGTGTTTATGAGCTAGAAAAAAATTGTTCTGAAAGTGATTCCAATGATATCATTCCTCTGTGTTGTTATTGTTATAGTGATGTGGACTTTCTTGTTCTCACAGAAATAGAATGATTTTTAAAACTTCACAGATATCGCTATAGTTATTGTTCTTGGTGTGAACGGGCCTATATAGAGCACAAGTCATATAGACTACTCTTTTTTGATACCTTTAATGGTGCTTTTTGTCATTTTTGAAGTTTGTCTGTCCCTGGTCACCTTTTATTTTTAATTATATGAACAATCTGCTAAACTTTTCCTTATGTGTTTCACTAAAAATCATCATGAGCAAACGTTAACAATTCTCATTTGTGAGTGGACTATTCCTTTTAAATCTACAGTGATTAAAGTGAGTGATGACAATAGAAAAAATGGGTAACTTGATATGCACTGCTACAACAACAAAATGTCCAATCCATCACAAGTCTATGCCGGGAATTCACAGAACAGTGATCAGTGACTTCCCGCAATGTGGAAACTAATCAGCACTGCACTCTCTGCTGGTAGATACTGCTATTGCACCATGGTGAGGTAAACGCCACACGTCTCAGAGACAGAGCACACTGCTCACTCATAACCCCTCCTGATGTTCAGCACGCTTATAGTGAATGGATGTTTAAAACTAAAGCTCAATCTACTTCTATCTCTGAAATATATTCACTTCAGGGCCATTAAATAAAGCACCATAAATATAGATAAGATAGAAATAAGAGATAAGAACATCTTATGTGAAGATATTCATCTGCAAAGATGGTTATTATTCAGTGCACCTTTTTAGAAGAGTGCTTTGTTGATAAAGGCTGATTTACTTCTTAACTGAAGGCAAAGCTCAAGTGAATGCAAACATCAATCAGGTTTCAACTACAGTATAGTAGCACATCCGGACCAAAACAAACAACCCGTTCTGTACAAAGCAAAAATAAAAAGTTATGGTAAAAAGAATCTGTAATCACAAAGAAAACAATAAATATTCAAAACTTCAGCCCCAGAACACGTGCCGGAAGCCACTGCGGTTGAGGCCTGGCTCAGTCTGGCTCGCACTTGCCCTGATGGGAAGGATATGAGAGGAGGGGTTGGGGTTCTGAGACGGTTTCCTCCTAGTCCAGTTTCACTCCAGGCTTCTCTGTGTTGAGGAGGTGAAGGCTGTCATCTATGAGAAAGCTACAAGAAACAAAAAACAAGGAAAACATACACTGTAAAAATAATTTTGTATTATACACATATACATATATTCTCCCCACGTCATGTGCAGTGCTCTGCACTTTTTTCAAAACTCTACAGTGAGCACAACAGCAGAATATGTGGGCTAAACTGGATCATTTCCTGTTGCTTTGGTACAAAATGCATTCAATGACTATCTTTCAAATATCGTGAATTCACATTTCTACAGTAATGAAATGTATTTCAAATCTAAAAAATAAAATGCTATCAAAAATGATTAGATAGCTGATCTTTCAATTTCATTACCATCTATACAAAAGGAGACAGCTTTATAATAGTTTTGTACTGCGATATAAACATGGACCATCTAACAAACTGCAGGTGAATTCTAAACAGTAGAGAGCTGTCATTCTAGTTTTATAAAGGAATTTTACAAAAGAAAACACTGTATAATGCTACCTTTTAGGTCATTGTTTTATGGGTGACAAAGTGTGTTTGTTGGGTGACAATCTTTGCTATGTGTTATAGAAGAATGAATTGATTTGAAACAAGTGTTTTGGTAGTTTTAACGCAGTCTGGATGTAAAATTTACTGCTGTGCCAAGCTGAAAGTTGGTAAGGAGAACTGTGTGAAGAGTTTTGAAAATGTTACTTACAGGTGCATCTCAATAAATTAGAATGTCGTGGAAAAGTTCATTTATTTCAGGCTACAAGAAACAAAAAACAAGGAAAACATACACTGTAAAAATAATTTTGTATGTTTTACAAGAACATTTCTACTTAAAAATGTCATGTTTATTTCACAGGTTACTTGCCGTTTTTGTAATTATTTGTGAAATTTAGCAGCAATTTCTAAATGAACACAGCTTTAAAGTAAATCCTACACCAATTTGTTTTCAGGGTAGTTTAGTTTTGTTGTTGTTGTTTTAATACAAGCACCGGGACCCATTTCTATAGAACCCTGCACATAACATGCGGGGAAAAAATTAAATATCCTGGCCACAAATTAAGAACAAGCAACTTATTCTAATTTGTTCCCTAATTTTATTTAAATTGTGGCCACATATGATTAATTATTTCTCTAGTTTGGGGAATGAATTAGTAAATCGTGGAAAATCATCACAATTAAAAGAACCAAAGACTTAAACTACTTCAGTCTGTGTGCATTGAATTTATTTAATACACGAGTTTCACAATTTGAGTTGAATTACTGAAATAAATGAACTTTTCCACAACATTCTAATTTATTGAGATGCACCTGTATAGTATGGAGAAATGTGTAAAAACTATATGTGCACCATAATTAATATGTGCAAATTACGTGCATATGTACCTGTAGAAGAGGAAGTGGACGGGCACGGTGCTGAGGTGCCAGACGGCATGAGCGTCTAGAACCCAGAAGAGTGGAGGGAAATCCAGCAGCTCCAGCAGGGCAAGACCATGCAGTAAGAGCACCACCATCCCACACTTCCACCAGTACGGCAAAATCCTCCGGTTCAGCCAACACCAGCACAGCCACCACAACAGGTTTATCATGCCTGTGACAGAGAAGCCAAGACCAGAGGGAATGACAGATGGGTGAGAAACAAATACCTAATGTAGCCTATTACTGTATTAGTTTGTTTTTAAACCTTTATGGCTGGAATACACTACACGACTTTTAAAAACTGAACAGATCTTAAAATACTGGACATCATACACTTACTGACTTTGTAAGTCGCAGACGAAAAACTGGCCATTACACACTAAACAACTGAGGATCATACACTACCAGGCTTTAAAGTCATTCCGGTCACAACAAACTCACGCAGAAATGTGCGCCTTGTTGCTAAGAGATGTGTGACAATCGAAAACAATATGTGTTCTAAAATCAGCTAAAAATATCAAACCTGTTTCATATCCTCCGACTGGAAGGAATCTTAGTCTGAAGCTAAAAAAACGTTTTTTGTTGTTGCTGTTTTTGGAAAAGGCTATGAATGGATTGTATTTACTTAATATTTGTAATACTTGTATTTATCTTAATAAATGTTTCTGGGTTTCTTATTGTGTAAATGATTCATCAGCATACATTATTTCAAATAAAAGCCATCATACATTACACGATTTTCTATGAAATTTGTCAACTCAAATCTGCAGACTGCCTCCAGCCTTTAGTTTAAGTGTTACATAATGTGAAGCTGGTCTTGCACTGATTCAGTTGATGAAAATTAGCTAAATTACAGTTTAAAATATATATGAACTATTAACACAACATGCATATATATATATATACAACAATTCTGTGTTTTTCTGTCAATATGGGGTGCTGTGTGTACATTAATGAGGAAAAAAAATTAACTTAAATGATTTTAGCAAATGGCTGCAATATAACAAAGAGTGAAAAATTTAAGGGGGTCTGAATACTTTCCGTACCCACTGTATATATATATATATATACATACATACATAGAGAGATAAAAAAATTCTTATATACACAATCATTTTTAAATTGTAATATTTAAATATTACTGTTTTTACTGTATTTTTGATCAAATAAATGCAGTCTTGGTGAGCATGTGAGACTTTTCAATAACATTAAAAAAATCTTAATCATTCCAAAATGTAAATATAATTTAAAAAAATCTTTGTTTAGGATAATACAACAAGTTCCTGTGTACCATTTATGCCTTTTCCTTCTTATTTGTTATTTTATTAACCTTTTTTTATTTTTTAATTACATTTTTTTAATTGAAATGTCAAGTGAAGACCTGTAGACCTAGTATTTACACAAAGCTGAGTGTATTAACATATAACAAAAAGCTTAAATGGGTCATATGATGCGATTTCAAGTTTTCCTTTCTCTTTGGAGTGGACCAAAAAACAAGCACTTTGTGAAAACAATGCAAGAAAATCTATCCATGTTTACATGAGATTTTGAAATGATAAATCCTGTCAAAAATGTTACAAAGCTGACAGAACAACTGATGCAGGCATTTACATGCAAAGATCTACAGTGATCAATAAATTAACTGTGCTTTGATTACAGTCAATATGAAACCGCATTCAAAACTCATTTTAATCCAGTAACGGGATATTTTTCTGAATGAAACAGGAGATTAAAAATATAGGTCATGACTTGATTTTATTCAATGGGAATTGACTGGATCGAGAAAAGTCAGACCTCGATATTTTGTATTCTGTGTAATACCAATCCCCCGTTTTTATTTGGAATAAAGTACGCTGATGAATCATTTACACAATAAGAAACCCAGAAACATTGATTAAGATAAATACAAGTATTACAAATATTAAGTAAATACAATCCATTCATAGCCTTTTCCAAAAACAACAACAAAAAATATTTAGGACATTTTTACATGAACTTACACGTTATCAGCTTATCATAGGCACTGTAGAATCATGTATGTAAACACACTGCTGTATTCACAACACTTACCAATGGTGGCGTTGGCAGCCATGTTGTACCCGTAGTCAAAACTGACAAAGGTCAGATAAGACACATGAGACGTGAAGGCCAGAATGAGCAGAACTCCCACCATACTGGAAATTGCAGGCCTACGCAAGCCCAACGTCCTGAAACACAAATATCAATCCTCAAATCAACATCATAAACTAAAGCAATAAGCCCCAAGAAGCCGTGGTTTACAGTGAATTTATAACAGCTAAGGGGCGTTGTTAGAAAACCCCTAAAACCCCCTTAGCTGTTCTAAATTCACTGTAAACTACGGCTTCACGGGGATTATTGCTTTTATAAAACGGTTATTCCATATACGTAGTAAGGTTTCACAGAATAAAACAGAGCAAATATGATATAAATAAAAAGAGTATTCTTCCACCAAACAATGTAGTTCCTCAGAAACAGTTGTGGTTCCAACAAAGTGGTTGCCGAGCAACACACAGAAGTAAACAAAGGTGTATGTTTGTAGTGTAATTTACAACAGCTTCGAACGCGGCTCAACCAATCAGAATCAAGGACCGGAACTATCCGTTTTATAAAAAAAGACTAGCAAGCACTATATATTGTTAATCAGCCATTTATTTCCTGTTCACTCACCTTACACAGCACAAGTAGATAGAGTAAAGAATGACAGCTGATGCACAGAAGTAGTCCATCTTCTATAAAACAAAGACAGAAAATCTCTACCAACACTATTTTTGACATGACAGGCATTACTCTTAATCCAAGAACATAAGAAAATGTTTAGAATTTGTCTTTGAATCATCTCTTGAAGGGTTACCTCTGTTAGATAGGTGTCTCTCGTGTGGAACACTGTAGACCAGAACCATGCATTCAGGGAAACCTGCAGAGAGACGCTAACATGGTTGAGCACAACCTACGTTTACAGTGAGGTCCAATTCCACTTAAAAAATGTTGGTATGATTTTTGTAAATAATGAAATTAACTGTAAAATAAGTATCATGAATTGAATGTCTCAGTATTTGGTTTGTACACTTTTGCTTTAATGACAACAGCACAGGAGATGCCATGAACAAAACTGATGATCATGTGATCCAGCATGATTTCAGAATGTTCCAAAGAGTATGTGACCATCTAAACAACATGATCAGTGTCAATAATTTGATTGGTGACCTAGAAATAGTGAAAATTCCTAATAATCTTTACTTACTTATTGAAAAATAAAGTAATGCAATAAAATGAGTGTTTAAAATTTGATTTGATTTTGATTTTTAATCATACCTAAACATGAGTTATGCCTCTCTGGCCTGCTGTTTTGGTTTTTTTTTTTCATTTGACATTGCTGTTATCTTGCATTGGTAAAAAGCCTCCATGAGCTTTCATGCTTGGGGTTGCCAGATGTCAAGAGTTTAAATTCCCCAGTCAGAGATTTTCTCTTAATCAATCCCAACCTGGCAACCATGCACACATGCTCCCTCTGCACTGCAAAAAAAAGAGCTGATGACCTCAAAATTTTAATCATACCTAAACATGAGTTATGCCTCTCTGGCCTGCTGTTTTTTGGGGTTTTTTTTTCATTTGACATTGCTGTTATCTTGCATTGGTAAAAAGCCTCCATGAGCTTTCATGCTTGGGGTTGCCAGATGTCAAGAGTTTAAATTCCCCAGTCAGAGATTTTCTCTTAATCAATCCCAACCTGGCAACCATGCACACATGCTCCCTCTGCACTGCAAAAAAAAGAGCTGATGACCTCAAAACACTGAAAAAATGTGGAGTTTAGCGATCTTAATGCGCTATTCTGCTCATGTTAAATGTAATACGGCCAGTTAATATTCTTTCATGAGGCCAAGCAAACCTTTTCAGTGACGAACTGTTATAAATCTAAATAGGGATCTTAACTATATTATTTGCAATTGTGGTTGCTGAATAACTGCACTTATGCAACTTTTGAACTACATCACAAAGTCTTTTTATTGTGTGTTTTTTATTTATTTTTTTTTTAAATTTGGAATAATTTGGAATTATTGGAATTAATATTAGCAGACAGACACTGTCTCACCAGTGAGAAGGCGGTGATGGTGTGGTACATGGGGCTTTGTCGAGGGACGGCGCTGCGGTATCTCAGCAGCATCAGCAGACATGCCAGACCGTTGAGCAGAGATGCCAGCGCAGATGCAGGCTCCTCAAAACACAAGAAACGAGCAAAAGGCCACTAGACAAAGTTAGAAATAGGAAAAAAAAAGGATGTAGAATCAGGGTTGAAAACATACATTTCCATAGTGATGACCATTAAAATTTGTCCCCTTTCACACTGGTTGACAATTCTGACACTAACCTTCCCGTGAAACTGTGGTACGCTGTAGCCCTCTGCCTGGTACAGACCCACGGTGGTCCACATGCACTGATACCTGCAGTCATCACGACATGTCCAGCCTGAAAGATCACAGACTTCAAATGAGCGATTGCACAGGAAAGGCTGCAGGACAAAATTAATTGACATTGATAAAGTAAATTTGGCATTTCCTAGATCTACAATACTAACCAAATCTCACACAGAATTAGTCAGAACATAATTGACTGAATTTATGCAATTCGTGCTCTTATAAAATCTTTTGATCTAAAGGTTTATGCATAAATAGTTGTGTCTACATATTCATTTCTTTACAAATGTCATTATTTCTTGTAAGATAGGATAGTGAAGGAAAAGCAGCCAACAAGAGTCCAGCATACATCCTTGAATACCGTTTAAAAAGCATCCCAGGATGCACCTTTTAAAGTTGGTTTTAGAGAATCTCCAGTGAAAATGTCAAATTTTTACCTACATGTTCAAAAACGATGTGCGAATCAAAATGAATTTTTGTCGTAATCAACGTTTTGCCACAAATGCTGTGAATTTAGCTTAACTTTATTGAAGCTATAGGGTTGCAAAAATGTGGAAATTTTCCAGTAAATTTCAGAAACATTCCAGAAATTTTTGAAACTTTCCAGCATTTGTTTGGAATATTCCAGGGATTTTTGAAAAGTTTCTGGAAATTTACCGGAAATCTTCCACCCCTTTGCAACCCTATTCATTATGTGGCATCCTTTCACTAGAACAATGTTTGAGACATGAGACAAAACATGAAAATACACAATATTAAGTAAAAAAATTAAATAAATACAATATTTAGTAAACTTCATCCAAAGCTAACAAGCTAACAGTGTTCAGCTAAAGGTTTCACTGCCGAAAAGTAAAATTACTTTTTACTTTACTAAGTAAAGTGTACAAATTACTATTTTATGGTTTTGCAACACAATCATTATAACAAAGTATGTACATCTGCACATGGCCAGGCTTTAAAAGCAACCCAATTTTAAGCAATATGTATTGGGGGTCCCTGCTCTGTCTCCCTATCCAGCAATGGGTTCTTGGTCTAAAATAGCTACATTAAATGTTATAGTCTCTGACATAAGAGAACGGTGCTATGCAACGTAAAACACCATCCGCTATTGGAGTTGTGCAGTGACTCGGTGTGGAACTGTTACAAAATCATGGGATTTACCTGTCCTGGACACAGTATTTTCAGAAGGGACAGAACTATTTGATTTATAATTTGTTTGTTTGTTTTCATTGTTTTAATGGTTGTTATTCTAAAATGTCTGTAAATATTACTACTACAGAGAATGAGTAGGTGTCTCCAAATGTTGACTAGTGTTGTATAAATACTGTATGTGATACATAATGTTTCCTCTCAAGCAGGTAACCAGCCATAGGCTGCTTATTCGGTGCTCTCCTGAGGGGGGAAAACAGCTCCAGCCTATGGTGGTTGGCTGGCCCTAGCTAGTTTAGCCTGTCCCTGGAGTTTAGCTGGTTTAGCTTGTTAGCCAGCTTTTCTCAAAGTCTGAAAAGTGCCCAAAACCCCTCTAAAACCATTCAACCAGACAAGCCAAGCCAGATAAGACCCCTTTTTGTTTGTTTTGTTTCATAACTTTTTTTTCAATTGGGCTTGGGTTTTTGATTTGTGTTGTTTTAATTATTTTACAAAAAGTACTGCTGTGGTACCATGGTACAGTGATGGAATAAAATGATATATATACCCTGACATATATCAAGCGACTGCTGTATTCATATAACCAGTGTTGGGCAAGTTACTTCCAAAATGTAATACATTATATATTACTTGTTGTAACTTGCGTTACTGAGATTGTAACGAGTAATAATATTACCCAAATTTGATTAGTAATGCGTTATATTACTGCGTTACAGCAAAAAGTAATATACTACTGTAATATTATTACTTTTGTAATGCGTTACTCCCAACACTGCATATAACACTGTACTCCAGCCTGCTTTGAACAAAACCATGGAATGCATTACTATGGTACATAGTAAAAAGTTGTGGCAATACCAAGATATTGATAGAAGTTAAAGAATAAGAACTTTAAGAACATTGTCCTGCTAAGAAGAAACAATACTGTTATAATGGCAATTGATATAGGCCTATGACATCATTTATTTTCTTCACTTTTTTAATTTTAGAATGTGTGTCAATCTATAAATAAAAATGTTCGTATACAGGTCTGTTCAAACTTTTGTCGTGATTTGCACATTTTAATAAATACTCATTTTAAAATGTCCATCAACTCCTGTTCATTTAAATCTGTCATTAAATAATTCAGTATTGCTAATAATTTAATTTAAAATAATATTATGACATTTTCTCTAGTCAGCTGTGAAATAAATTCAGTTTGCATAATACTCTACTAGGTTACTAACACAAATAGGTTAGAACGGTACCTGTGAGTGCCATGTATGGAGGTTGAGAGGACTGGAATCCGCGCAGTCGGGCCCCCGTGCAGTTCGTCCGGACGCATTGTTTGACGCAGTCGCGATAGACGGGCTCTTTGTCCCCCTGAGAAGCGCTCGCAGGAGCGGACAAGAGAAACACCGCGGCTGCTAGAAACATCAGGCGCGTCATGCTGCTGTTAGTCCGTCCGGTCATGAGGCACAACAGTGGTGCAACATCAGGCCATCAGCGCGAGTCCAGCGAGTCCGGCGAGTCTCATTCACCGAGCATGACAGTATTCACCGCCACTGTTTCTTTTGTCTTTAAACGACGTGCCGCTTTAATTATAGGTAAGCACCTTTTATTCGCTGCCCGGCCAACAAGTTTCATAGACGCATCACAAGCGAAATGTTACATTTCACTTAAAGACAAACCCGGAAGTGTAAATGTAGCGCGCACGCGCATGTCTGTCGTCTTCTTTCTCCACACACACACACACACACGTCTGGTCAGCTATCCTTGTGGGGACTCTCCGTAGGCATAATGGGTTTTCTACTGTACAGACCGTATATTCTATTGCCCTACACCAACCCCACACCTAAACCTACCCCTCACAGGAAACTTTCTGCATTTTTAGATTTTCAAAAAACTTCATTCTGTATGATTTATAAGCTTTTGTACCCGTGGGGACCACAATTTAGGTCCCCACCGTGACACGAGTCCCCATGAGTCTGTGAGTATTCAGGTTTAAGTCCCCACCAGGATATATAAACCTGTACACACACACACACACACACACAATTCTCTGACAAATAAATTAATGAATAAGCCAATTGGTAATTATTACGTTAATTTAAAAGGTCCAATCCCGTTTTTTTTTTCTTTTTAAAAAAATGCAAAGCATGACTGTTTATATATTGAATATATAATGACTGTGTAGTTCTGTTAAAAAATATATACATATACACTTACGTTAAAATTATTATGCATGAGCTTTAGCTACCTACAGTTTGGCAGTGTTGGGTAAGTTACCCCAAAAATAAAGAATTAATTATAAGCTAGTAATTACATCTTCAACAGTTTAATTAGATTACGGTTCTAATTCAGTTACTTTCTAAATCCCACATCAGCCTCAGATGAACAAAACAAGGATAGACATGAAACTACTCATTTAATTCTTTCAAATAAATTATATAAAATTGAATAAATTATTCTTGAACTGGCCAAAGTATTTAAAGGGAGAAGGTTACATTAAAAAAACATACATTTTAACATTAGATGTTAAATCCACTATTGTTTTATATAGAACTGTTCTGCAGTCTAAACAGTATATAATGCAATTACATCAGAACTAATTGGAATTAAATTACAGAAAAATTAAGAGTAATCCCTTACTTTTTCCAAGGGAACAGTAATTAAATTACATTAATTACTTAGTAAGGAATTATACCCAATACTGCTGGTTGATTGCACTTTATGATCTCAAATAAACTGAGACTACATGGAATATTTGTATTTCAAACAGTCATTTGTCACACCACAGGAGCATTTAAACTGAACTGAAGGCAAAAGGGTGATTAAAATGCTGAGAAACAAAAGAAAATGTTCCCTTATTTTCCCTTATACACTGACATAAAGTTGAAGAAAAAAAAGACATTTAAAAATTGATGGATGATAGCAATATTGTGTCTTCATAGCAAAACAATGTCCTTAAAGGGAATTTCTTAACATACGAGTTGTAATCTTTGAAAACGTTATTTTCCCGGGAAAGGATCGTGGAGGGAAAGAACACCTCATTTTGAACAACCTAAAAAAGCAAATATGATATTTCTGTATTCTAAAATATTTCTAAACATTTTTATGTGCTTAATGACACCAAATAAGTCCAACATCAAAATGTGTGCAAAATGTACTAGAACACATATGTATTCAGTGCATACCAAAAAAACTTGCAGACTATGCACAGTAATAGTGGCAATACACAAATTTCAAACATATCTTGTTTTTGCAGTCTTCACTAACAATGTATTATAATTAAATGCGGATGAAGATACTCACACAAGATGAACAATGCTTTATTGAAAACTGTACTTGGCAACATTTTCATGAATCAAATATAAATGTTTTGACAGAAAACAGGGCAGGAAAAATTAAATATTTGACCATAGCAATGCCATCTATTCTTTAATATTTAAGTTTATACATCTTGCTCCTCTGGGGCTGTAAATAATATTATAATTATAAAATAAATATTATTAACATTAGGATATTTTGACATTACCGTCTTCAATATCAGTCTCAAAGACTATCAGAATTTTAGATATCAAACCAACTCTCTCTGCTAATATTTAGTTTCTTATTTTTCAACTATCTTGTGTTATATTAAACGTATCAAACTTAAATATGAAGGCGTACAATGAGCTTTTTCAATTAGGATTCACGCTAATGAAGAAATGTACAAAATATAATACCATCATTCAAAATAAATCGCTATCTGTGATTACTTATAAGTTTTACAAAACAGAACAGTCCTAAAATCTAATTAAAAAATGTTCTATGCTATAGCCCATGATCTAAACTATGATATTTTGTGAAGTAAAATACAACTGTGACAGCAATTGAGATTCATCCTTTGGGGCCACTTGACAATCCACATTATTGCCAATAAATATGGAAATTTCATAATCCAACTCAAAATAATTAAAGGAACAGTTCACCAAAAATGAAAATTTACTCACCCTCAGGCCATCCAAGACGTAGATGAGTTTGTTTCTTCACAAAACGTTAATTGATGGACTGACGTCATGTGGATTACTTGCGGGTTGTTGTGATTCTGACGGCACCCATTCACTGCAGAGGATCCATTAGTTAGTGATGGAATTTCTCCAAATCTGTTCTGATGAAGAAACAAACTCCTCTACATCTTGGATGGCCTGAGGGCGAGTAATTCATTTGTGATCATCTACAACACCACATTTATGCATAAACGCATTTGTGCAATTTCAGATTCCGGGGATCTGCATACCTCTTTCCGCATTTATCGCAGATGTACTGCTTCCCCCCTCCATGAACGTGGCGTTTGTGAGTACGCAGGTGACTACCTTGACTGAAACACTTGCCACAATACTCACAATTGTACGGCCTCTCACCAGTATGGACCCTCTGGTGCAACTTTAGACTGTTCGTATTGTTAAACCACTTATCGCAGTAATTGCAGCCAAAGGGTTTTTCTCCAGAGTGAGTGCGGCCGTGTGAAATGAGGCTACTCTGCTGACTAAAGCTCTTCCCACACTCCTTGCAGCTGAAAGGTTTTTCACCCGTGTGAATCCGTTTGTGGATTTTCAGATTTACAGCTTGCCTGAAGGTCTTGCCACATAGGTCACAACTAAAAGGCCGCTGGTCCGTGTGGATGCGCTCATGGTTTTTAAGATTGACGGCGTGCCGAAACGCCTTCCCGCAAGACACGCAGGAGTACGGTTTCTGACCTGTGTGGATAAGTTGATGCGTCTTTAGCGTTATGGCCCGTGTGAAACTTTTCTGACATATTGAACATCGGAACTCCTTTTCGCCCGTGTGGGTGAGTTGGTGCCTGGCAAGATTTTGAGCAATGTTGAATCTTTTTTCGCAAACGTTGCAGCCGAACGGTTTTTCGCCGGTGTGGATTATTTCGTGGGTTTTGAGGTGTGCTGCTTTCCCGAAGCATTTGCCGCAGACTTTACAAACAAATGGCTTTTCTCCTGAGTGGACTCGGTGGTGGTCGGACAAACTTTGTTTGTGGGCGAAAGCCTTGCCGCAAAGAACACAGCCGAAAGGCTTTTCTCCAGTGTGAATACGCTGATGTGATTTGAGGTTGCTTTGAGAAGAGAAACTCTTGCCGCACTCTGAACAAATAAAGGATCTCTTTCCAAAGAGTGTAACAGAATCTTGAGGATCTTCGCTGCTGTCTTCTGGCAAAACAGATGCTACTCTGTCTTCTGGAGAAGCGTTTAAGTGACCTGAGAGGAGAGCAATTAAATAATTGTCATTGGATAAATATCTGTTTATTACAGCACAATTCTTTTGGAACTTTGCCATATAAATATCTGATCAATCACCGTGTTAATTCAGTTAAATTCTGATGGATTCAGCATGCATTCTATACACTAGATAGATCATTAAATAGATCATACTCATCTCATTCATTTGTAATTTAGCATATTATTCACATACCAGTAGTGATGGACTTCAAGTCAACTTTTCCAAATTCATTTTTGATCGTCACAGCTAGCGTCAGTGGGGATTCTGGACGCTCTTCTACAGCCTCATCAGACTGCAAGCATAAAGTAGTTATGTGATTAATCATAAAATAGCCAAGAAATTTAGTGACTTTACTTTCTTATAGACTTACACTACCGGTCAAACATCTGGAATAATAAAGATTTTTTTTTAAATGTTTTTGAAAAAATCTCTTACGCTCACCTAGGCCGCAATATTACTGTAAAAACAGTAATATTTTGATTACAAATTAAAATAACCATCTACTTTTTTAAAGAGCAGGTCATATGGTTTTTTAAAGTGTCCTAATATTGTGTCGGAGTCCCCTACAACAGGTTTAAAATGCATCTAAGGTCAGAAAACACTGTAATTATCCCAGAATATAAATTTATACATAGAGTCATTTGTCCATGATTTCGAAACGGTTCGTTCGATTCGGTTCTGAGCGAAATGTCTGTAAACCCCTCCCTTCCATAAGCCTACTCTGCTCTGATTGGCCAGCTGGCCAAGCCTGTTGTGATTGGCACAAAGAGGAGCGAGTCCTTGCGGAGATTGAAAGAATGCCATCTTCTCCTGTTCTGTTGTCGTCTCTTTTTTTTGTTGTTGTTTTAAATAAATGGTCTGTTCTTTGATATGTACTTGCTGCCGTAGCGACCCCAATAACGTCATATTTAGGCACTGGAATGCGAATTTACCAGGGAAACCCCGACTGAAAGCGTGTATTTTACATTACACCCCCAGAACGCGATTTTTAAAGGGGGACCACCCTCGAAACACCATTGGGCTAGTTTTGAGTAGCAATTGGGCGGGTTTTGTTGTGACAACCTGGCAACCCTAGCATGCACCTTTACATAAAACAATAATATAATGCTCCAATCAGTTCTTAAAATAATGACATAAAAACATTTTGTTTAACACTTATGCAAGCGAATTGTGCCCACAGCTAAAGTTTAGCTGCTAAACCGTAAACACTTAAAACAATAATGGTGGATACGTTAGCCAAGTGCCAACGTGACTAACTGATGAAACGATACAGTTTGAAAACCAAAATATGTCTACTGTAATGTCTGAAGAATGACAGACAAAAGACGCTCCGTGTCTTAACCTTTAATTATAACGCAGAACAGCTGTATCACATGCGCACCAGCCTAA